AATCGGCGTAGTTGGCTGATGGTTGTCGGGACGGGGAAAGTTGATATTGCCGAAACTTTTTCCGGGACGGGCTTTATCCCATCTGAGTTCACTTTGTGACCAAGGAAGATAAGACTGGGGACTCCAAACTCACATTTAGCAACATTTATTACAACGCCGAGTCAAGCCGTGCGAAGAGCTGTCAAAGATGAATCTCGTGTTCAGTAGTGTCAGAACTAGCTACTAGCAAATCATAAATGTAAGCGCAGACGAAGTAGAGACCTCGCAGAACCTGATCAATGAATCACTGAAAGGTTTGAGTGGCGTTCCTCAGACCAAAGGGCATACGAGTAAATTCGAATAACCCAAAGGGAGTGGTCACTGCAGTTTTCGGAACATCACTGGCCTCGGTCGGGATTTGGTGGTGGGCACGCACAAGGTCAATCTTGGAGAATATTCGCCTACTATGCAGCGAAAGGGTGAAGGCTTGAATGTGCGGGACGGGGTACTGGTCGGGGACAGTCACAGAGTTTAACGCCCGATAGTCAGCACACGGTCGCCAGTCGCCGCTCTTCTTTGGGACAAGATGGAGAGGTGATGCCCAGCAGCTGTCGGACTGTCGGATGATGCCGAGCTGGAGCACGTGTTCGAATTCTGTCTTGGCGATCTTCAAACGGTCCGGAGCAAGACGACGAGGTCGGCAAGATTTGGGAGGTCCGGTAGTGGAAATATGGTGGGTGACTGTGTGTTTGATGTCCACTTCACGAAATGAGGGGTTGGTCAGGCGGGGAAACTGCCTGAGGAGTGAGTGGAAAGGACAGTCAGAAATGGGCATAACAGTGAGAGGGTTGACGCAGGGGTTCACATCGGATTGACAACGGGCATGAAGGTTGGTGATGCAGTCGACGAGTCGGCGATTCTTCAAATCAACTGGTAGATCGAAGTGAGCTAGGAAATCGGCGCCTATGAGGGCGACGGAAACGTCGGCAATAATGAAAACCCATCGGAAAATTCGACGAAGGCCCAAATCAAGTGTGATGGAGCGCTATCCAAAGGTGGGGATGCTGGAGTTGTTGGAAGCCGTTAGACAAAAAGAGCCTGGGGTTTTGCATTCAGCCGGAGTTTGTGGAACCACGCTAACCTCGGCACCAGAGTCGACAAGGAATTCGGCGCCAGCGATACGGTCCCAGAGAAACAAACGGCGAGTGTGGAGATTGACAATGCTTCCAGCAGCAGAGGCCTCTACTGTCGGGTGGGATCGCCTCCCTGAGGCCGTTAGAGATGCCTTGAAAGAGCATGGCTGAAGACATCGTCGAGCTGCTCCTCTAAATTGTTGTTGATACCAGCAGACGCTAGTTGGAGATTGTGGACGGCGGGTGTTGGAAACGGTTGAAGTATGCCGATGGTTTGGCGTTCGCCGCTGGCTGTTACTGGTAACTGCTGTGAGCTGTGCTTTCAGGCGCATTAATACCTCCTCGAGCCGATCCAAGCGTACGTTAGCTCCTTGAGAATTTGGGTTGATGAGTTACTTCTGGTCTTGTGACATCGCGCTGTAGGTCGCCGGAAGATTGTTGTTGTGAACGAAAAGCTTGCGGAATTCCAGTGTTCGGAAATTAGGAGTCACCAATTTGTGGCGGTCAAGGATGTGAGATCAACTTAAATCACGCACAATAAGTTCGTTTCGTCTAATGACAGAAGTCAGGGAGCTGTGAGGACTAGTTTATTCTGTACACAGGGCAGGTTGCCGTAAGTTGGCTGTTTGCTTGCAACAGAGATAACCGTCCGTTCACGGAGAGCGTCAGTCGCGGTGTGTTGTTTACGCGGGAGTGAAAGTCTGTGTCAGTAGGTGGGGGTGACGGGTTGGATGCTAGCCATGAGATTGGACGGATTAGGGGGAAGCATAATTACAGGGTCTCACGGGTATCAAGCCAGGTCGTCCGACGCGCATGAGGTGATAATAGTTTGTGGGGGCAGCCGGGGGTCACTGCAGCTGGACAGGAGGGGAGCCCAGTTATAATCGGCGGGGGTGGTTGTGTGTCAGCGGCCTGGCAACGATTGTCGCGACCATCGACCGACAAAACGGAGCCGGAGAAAATGGGGGCTGGAGCGGCTGCTACAAGGGCTTGACCTGGGATTTACCTATCCCTTCACTGCCTCACTACTTAAACTTCATTTTTCCAATCCTTGTGATCATTGGTCTCTTCTCTGATTTCTAGTCAGCAACCTCCATGCAGCGAAGACCTTGAATGGAAAGGACTACGCGGGACAACTTCATGAAAACCTCACCCAGTTTTTCTAATCTAGGGACCGAGCCTGCCTCATTTTTTGTTCCTCCGCTAGCACTGACGCAGGCAGAGACTCCCTCTCCAGCGGCTCACAAGGGAATGGACAAAATTGGTACATTTCGCGGTTTAGCCGACGCAGAATTCGTTGTGGAACCATCGCACTTCTCCCTTGTTCCCTACTTAGATAAAGCGACCAGCACCCCCACCCTCCGCTTCCAGCGCTTTTGCCTGCCCAGCTTGTTCATCTCGGAGCCCCCCCCCTCCCCCAAAACGCCTGACCCAAATTGTGTCCAGTAACGGCGGCGTCGGAGCCCCCCCCCTCCCCCAAAACGCCTGACCCAAATTGTGTCCAGTAACGGCGGCGATATCGTTACACATGGAGGCTGGCGGTTTCCCTCCTCACACCAGTGAGCGTGCACACGCCTGGGAATTGGATTGTTAGCGGCGCTCCACTCTACCCTCCCCCCCCCCACCCCTCCCTCTCTGTCCCAGCCTCCCTCCCCTCTATCTCCATACCTCATTTGAAGAGGCCTTGCTGTTGGCTCCAAGCAGCTGCGATATTTTTAAATTCGAACGCGCCGTCCTCACTCATTTTGCTTCCTCCTTCCGCTAGAAAGCGCCTTTGGGATTGACTAGTGTGTTGGAAAAACGCAATATCGCTAGAGCCCAGAGGCCATGGGCACTGCAGGCCATCTTATTTGATCCAAGGAGGCGCTGTCGGTAGGGAACATATCGGGATATTAATGGAGGCATGTGGTAGGTCAGAATGTGGCCGTTACGTACTGCTATGGGACTGCGATTTGAAGTCTGGCGGGCATTTGTATTTCATCCTTCACTCTGAGCAGAGTGGCGAATGTTTATCCCATGTTGATGTGATCATTGGAACAAGAATTCCATTCGCCTGACGCTTTGGATTTCAACTTGAACGCACCACCAGAGGCAGTCGCGAGTAGGGGGTGATGGAAAAACAGGAAGTGCAGTATTTATTGGAAGCAGCTGTTCTAGCTTTTCTCAAACTGCAGTTTGAGGAATTCTCCATTCATGTCACCAATGAGGCTGAAATGATTGAGTGATTCTAGTCTTTAACGCTAAAAACCACAATCGCATTAAAATTTTTGCCACAAGTCCACAATTCCTACTGGAAGACAAAGACAATGGGCGTGGTTATCTCTAAAACTTCTAAAACTTCTCTAAAACTTCTTATTCCTGAAATTCGCCTTTTGGCCTGTATCGTCGATCGCATGAGGCTTTGGATCTTCTCAATAGTGCCTAGTGGAATGCGGGCACCTGGTTCAAAAGCACGCGGTCTAACCCTGCTTAACAGGGTTAGAAACGGGGTGTGTGTTGTGCTAAAGATATGCATTTTCTACATTATACACGATTAAGGAACAACTACTCATCAAGTCACTCACGTCCTATTCAACACACATAACCCACGATCATAACTTTATAGTCGGAGGCTCGGGTTGTCATTTCAGAAAATGAGTTGGGTGGCCATTGAAAGAGAATGGTTTCACAAGTAGCCGGGTTAGTTTGGATAATTTTTCTCTGTTGGGCACGGAGGTAGGGTTCGATTCACCAGAACCGAAATTCAGACGAGCAGTAGCACTTACTTTATCACCGACAGAGACAAGGAAGGCTGGAGTGGCCATTTCTGGCTTATTAGCCGTCGTCAGCCAGCCATAATCAAGCTCGAAGTGTAGAAAACCCGATGCTTAAACTCGCGACCTGTTAGTTAGAAGTCTACGCCTCTAACCACTGGGTCATGAGCCGTTGTCCTGTCGATTGAGATCGGGTGCATACAATAGCAGGGGGCGCTCACCAATCGTTCTTACGGAATTCACTCGTTTCGTTGTGCCTTACGGGTTCTATCTCGAGCCTAACTAGCAGCCGCACCGCGGCGCATGATATAGGCAGAATAGCAATACCAACAAAGACAAGCGAGACTGAAATGGCCATTTCTGGCTTGTTAGCCGTCGTCAGCCAGTCATACCCAACCCCGAAGTGTGTTGGATGCTACGCAAGTCTGTCCTCACTATAAACCAATTTACGCGCAATTCACCATGCCTGCTCCACCTTGCCATGTTATTTGCGATGGTTGACCTGTCAGCTCAACAAGGGGTGCAGGCCATGTTGTGCTCGTTTTTTCTGTCTGGCTTCTGAGGCACAGCTTAAATAATATTAAGCAAACTGGGAGGAGCCCGCAACCCTTGGCTATTCCCGTGATTGGATGCAAGGCCTGCAACCGACTATTCTTTCGACCCAAGCCTTTGTCGTTATCAGTTACAATGAGTATGTCTTACCTTCATCGGGTGGCTTTTCATTTGCCCCTAGAGGAGGTTGCGCAGCAAGCGCGCCGAAACAAGGCGGAAGTCAGACTAGCTCACTGCACGCGTCTTCCTGGCGGTGCAGGTCTTCACGTCCCGTCAACCACTGCGTCCACTCCCATCACCATCTGGTTGGCAGGGCCCGACAATCGACTGATGCAAGAGAGTGGCAAAAGGTAAGGAGGTCAGATTTTAGGAATCCATTTCATGCTTGAATCTATAGTGACACGCTAAATCCTGACCTGAAAGGTCGCCCTCTGATGGACTAACTCGCTCCTTCTCTGGATTCAAGGTCAGGTCGCAGTGTCTTAATCTTAATGTTGTGTTTATGACACTGTCGATTACGTGAACTCCGAGCTGTCCCTGCAGCAAACTTGGGACCAGTTCGTGCGTGGCACGCGCAGACGAACTCTTTAGCACTGCGTCCGAGACCACCTCCGGTTATCTCGCCATTGTCTTACTACCGCTGCGTCAACTCCATAGGACACGCGATGGAAGTCGTCGCCTGCGATGGTGGGGCCTGCTCATCCAGACAACGCTGTTCATCATGATCATAGCCTCAATGATTCTATCAGTTTGTGATGCGTCCCTGCAGCTGCTCGCCAGTTTCGCCGACATTGCTGACCTTGTACAAACTTCAGCCCAATAGTGGAACGGTAACCCGACTTACAGGCAGCGAACACGATGTCGAACCTCGTTGTTTACTCCGCGCTTGCGATTCTGAGTCCAGGAGGCACCAGCTGGCCACTTAGGGGCGGAAAAGTTCTGATTTCAGAGCCGCCGACAGAAAAGAAGTCGGTTGCCTGGTGAATATAACCGGGATCGACACTACACTTGACTATTCATCCCCATTGACCGACGTATGCAATCAAGAAGACAATGTCCACCGTTGTAAGAACATTGTGCTCCGGTTAGACGTATTTGGTAGTCTTGGAACAGTACGAATCCGCCCCTGATCAACCTTTATTTGGATTGGAAAGGGATAAGACACCCACAGCGGGCCCATATCATTTAAATATACCTTTTCGAACTGTACTGAATGCGCTGATCAAAAACTACAGTGAATCGGGTGGAAAAGTTCGCATGACTTCGTTCACTTGGCCCCAGAGCATTCTTTCCTCCTTAAAGTTATTAAAAACTTCCATCATCCGTCTCCTCGGCTAAAACTCGTATTCTATGTTTTAATATATTGGCGGTAGAGAGTCAGTTTCCATTACTGAGGAGTGGAGTTCTGGGTAGAGACACTCATTTCAGAAAGCGATGGGTGAGAGGTCGTTCTGTCCGTAAAATAGCCAAACCGGCAATCACTCTATCAACATGCTGTTGACAAAATTCACGATTCTCTATCCTTTTTCCTGAAGTCGGTGACATTGAAATTGCAGAGGAATCTATTCCGTGACTGATTTCACTGTGGATGTGCAGGTGTCGAAAAGCACTGAGACTTGATTAGCATGGTGATACTAATTTTGATGATGCTGCGGTTCTGAAAAATTCAGTCGCAGCACTTTTATGTGAAGCAAGCTCTTCTCCAAAAAGTTGCTGAACCTCGTCCCAGATTGCGGGCTCGATTAACAGAGTCAACTCGTCACTGACCGCCATCCCTCCACCTACGCATCTCTGGCAGAGGAAATAAGTCCAATCTCCCACCCCCGCCCCCTTCTCCTGGACGCAGGTTTGTCGCGAGTAGTGTTCAGTCAGTCCGCGCAAGACGCAGACAGCACAGGCTGTCCTGTTTTTTCCATTAGTCCCCCACCCCTCCCCGCCTCCCCCGTCGAGGGCGCATAGGAGACCTTCCCAGCCATAATTCCACAAAGATCATATCGCGCAGGCACTTAGGGCATCGCGACGCCTGCCGCTCCTGCAACCTTCATTAGACTCCCCTCATCATTCTCACCGGCCGCCACCCCCTCCCCCCCCGCGGAGTAGCTACCAGTGTCCTCTCACTGCCGTGCTCAGCCGCGCCTTGCCAGCACAGACGGAACGAAGGGCGATGTGGTGCGGACCTCCAACTTGGACGACGACGACTACGAAGACGCTGCGTCTTTCTTCGGAGGCCAACTTGAAAGTGGTTGATTCTGGCGATGCGTCCGCGCTCGCGCGCTCCCTCCCTCCACTCTGTCTGCTACTGAGGTGGTGGCAACCGCACCAGGGTCACAGGCATCAGCAGCTTCGTCAATTACAGGCGATCTGCGCAGGGGGAGGGGGGGAAGGGGAGTCGTGGCAAGCAAAGGCCCCTGGAGGGGGGGGGAGATAGGCCGCATGGACCGGAGGCACAAACAGTGGGGGTGTTATCGCCCGTCATTTTCTTGATTTATCAGGCGATTGGGCAGACATAGCTACTGTTGGGACCATTAACTCGGTGGGGGTGTGGAGAGCCAGGTCATCAACCGGTCGCGTCTTGATGTTCACACACGTACAGAGCTGCCTTGTTAGAACTAAACACAAGCGCGGCAGTCATAATTATCCCATTAAGCGAGAATACACGTACGCCTGTGAGTGTAGTAAGTGCTGCATTGTTCCCACGGCCTGACCAGTCTAATGATTTGCTGCCTTCCTTCTGGCCCGGGGGAGAGGCCGCGCGCGAGACTGACAAAGCTTTCAGCCCCTTAGAAGATACGAAAGAGAACGCCCCGTAGGCCCGTGTGGCTTTGTCGAAATCACTAACAGCTCGTAACTGACGACCCTTGTCGGGCTGGTTCAAGAAGCATGCATACAGTGAGTGACCGATCTCATGAAGTGTTGGTTAAAGTTGTGAAATGCGTTTTCGACTATGAAGGATTACTTAGGCGCCGTTCTAATATTCATTATCTTGCGGCATAATCCTATGATAGTTCAGACTCGGCAAGATTTCCCCTCTTGAATGCACTTTGTTTCAATCTCCCATAGAAGTCGTATTTGGTAAAAAACGACCACTTAAGTAGCATGCATTCTTCACATAGATTTTCGATGGTCTTGCAAATTCAAATATATTTTATAGAAGTTATTCAAAAAATATTCTTCTTTATTCATTTGATAGAAAACAATGTCAACTTCATATTTTATACTCGAGGAAGGAGTATAGTTAGATTTGAAAAAAGTTTGTAATTATGAGATTTCTTAAGACCATGCAATGCCCATTCATGCAGCATCGTACCTCGGCGTTTGTCACTGCTCCTCATTAAATGTACAACATAGTCCGCATCCATTGCAATATTTTATGAAATGGATAAGGTATCTTTTTAAAGGCATAGAAGAATATATAATTTTTCTACGCGGAAGGCATGCACCTTGAAGACTGAAATCACTTGGCGCTAATGCAGCGGCTGATCAGGCTCCAAATTATTCGGGAATTAGAAAACTTTTTTTAAACCTAAATGTACCATATTTTCGAGCAAAAAATATGAAGTTGATTTGATCTTCTATCAACTGAGTGAAAAAAGAGTAATTTTGCACATCTTTTATAGCATATATTTGGAATTATGGGACCACCGAAAATCAGTATGAGAAATGCATGCTACTTAAGTAGTCACTTTTCCGTGGAAGGTTTCTACAGAATATTGAAAACAAGTGCTTCCAAGAGCCGACATGCTGTCGAGTCCGAAATATTATAGGATTATGCCTCAAGATAATCGGTATTACAACCCCACCTAAGTAATACTTCCTAATCAGAAACGCATTTCAGAATATTGGCCAACATTCCATGAGATCAGTCACTCACTGTATGTGGTAGAAGTGACGGGCAGTGGATTGTCACCGACTGAATTTGTTCCGCGTTTCCGAGGTCGGTATTGGCTGGGCCGAAATCTGTTCGGTCGCGCAGGGGAAGAAATGGCAAAGTAATTTTTTTATCCTGCAGATTCACAAAGTAGAGATTACTGGGCTTTCATCGTGTTTTACAGAAGGTACTAAATCTACCCCACCGATAATCTTAGACGTAAAGAGATGAATCCGGAATGTTCGTCTGGCATTGTTTGTGACAACGGTATGGTGAAGTGTACCACTTACCTGTTGATAGACTGCAGATCGTGCAATAAGGGGTTTTATCTTGATTTCCGTTTGCAGGAAGTTACGGACACTATGCAGCCAACAACGATTACTTCTCAGGATCTCAAACCATTATTAAAAATCTGTTATTTAAAAAAAATTTCTTTATTTTTACCTTTTTTATTAATGCGCTCATTTATGCTGCCACACGAGAGCGTACAATAGGACTTTCGGCAGGAATCTAAACAATTTCCGCGTTGTGTTGCATTTTTTCCACCTACTGTCTGGCCTACTGCTCCATCCGTAAAATCTCCATAACTGCCATTCTCATTTGACGCGATCCACAATCTACGGACAGTTAA